CTCACAAAAGGACCTCAAGAGGTCGGAGGAGAACTCACCACCCCTGTCATGGTGCAGACGCAGGACAGGAAGGTCCGTGCGGAACCGCTCGCGCAGCTGGAGACGGACAGCTCGGATCCAAGGGATCAAAACAGCAGGCATCTCACCCTTGCTGCGCAAGGGGAAGACCGTGGTGTAACGCGAGTAGTCGTCGACAACCAGCAGAAAGTATCGCTCGCGGCCCTGTCCCTAGACGCGGGCTGGGCCCCACACGTCTATGTGGTGAGTCTGCAGAGGAGCTGTCGTCGGGGGAAACGAGGAGGAGTGAGGAGCGGCGCGCTGCCGCCCCTCGACGCAAGGAATGCAGGGCGGGGCAGGCGAGGGTGGGAGGGAAGGCAGAGACCTGGGAAGACCAGAGACCAGAAGGCGAGAGTGCATGCCACGAAGGCGTGGCAAGGAGGGGTGACCAAGGCGGTGGTGCGATGGAGGGGTGACCAAGGCGAAGGAGAGTCTGGTGCGACAGGCGGCGACACTCACAGGGGGCTGCTACCGGACCTGACGGGGACACCTGAGCAGGCGCAACGACCTGAGGCGGCGCAGTAGTCAGTGTGTACAGACTCGACCCCGGCCGACGAGTGAACGTGGCCAGGTGACGGCCAGTCCGAGAGCACGTACAGATCGCCACACGCTGCCATCCAGGTGTAAAGGTATCGGCCCCCGCATCCTGGAGGACTGCGTTGCTCACCAAGTTCGTCGAGAACAAGGGGAGGTGGAGACTGGACAGGGAACCGGACGGAACGGCCGGGCACGGGAGCACAGTAGAGGAGCGTGCAAGAACCGGGCCCCCAGAGGGGTCAGCCAGGGAAACTGCAACAGGCCTGGTGAGGGGTGTGACTGTGGTACTGTCGCGAAAGAAGCAGCGAGAAGCACCTGAGTCAAGCGTGAAGGTGTGCAAGGCCTCAGCAGGCGCAGTATCAGAGAGAGCAGACTCACTAGCACCTAGAGCAGCAGCCTCTATACCAGGGTCATACGGCGCACACAAGTAACAGTCACCCTCAACACTAGTAGACAGAGCATACATGCCAGCAATGATAGCATCAAAGTCTAGAGCAAAGATATCAACACCAGCCTAAGCTCTGCCCAACGGGGCAGCTCATGCTCGTCGCCCATCTCCTGGCGCCAAGCGTCGTCTAGGCGGGAGAAACAGCGGTGCTGGGTGTGAAACTTCCCGCACGTCTGACCAGCGCGGGGACCTGTGCGAATAACGTACGAGCAGCGACCACTACCACCACCTGTAGACGCCGTACGCTGAGCAAGCCACTCACGAAGCTGCTGGGGCGAGAGGGTCTCACGTGGACGCTGATGCTGCTGCCGCTGAACTGTGCCAGAGCGATCACCACCGCAGCCGTTGCCACCACTCCCGCCGCTGCCACTCCCGCCACCACTGCTCCCACTGCCACCACGACCACTGCCACCACCACCCCCGCCACCGCCTCCACCTCCGCCGCCGACGGCCCCACTCGCTCCACCACTCCCACCGCCACCTCCACCACCTCCGCCTCCCCAACCATCTCCCCCCCCCCCCCGCCGCCACCACCACCACCCTTGCCCCCCTTGCCCTTGCTGCTGCGGCGCTTCCCACTAGGAGCAGAAGCAGCACCGACCTCATTAGCACCAAGGAAGTCGACAGCAGCGGCAGAGGCAACAGAGGGGGCGAGGGGGGAGGGGGAGCACCCCTCAAAGAAGGGCGTGCGAGGGGTGCCACGGGTAGCACCTACAGCGACTATGTTGGCTTCAGCTGCAAGAAGGTGCTTCCCTAGCAGGTCGATAGTGAGGTCTGTGGGGGGGAGAGCGAGAAGGGTGTCCCGGACTGCACTAAGAGAGTCAGGGAGGCGTGTCACTATAAAGTGGAGAGTGATATAGATCGGGGGCTCGTTCATGGGCAGGAACTCGGCAGAGAGGGCAACACGGTAACGAGCATCCGTAGCGCGAAGGTGGGAGAGGAGATCATCTACAGAGGCGAAGGAGGACAGGTCAGGGAAAAGGTAGGGCAGGAAGAGGCGGCTAAGTGCTGCAGTGGCAGGGGATGAGTAGCGGGCAACTACAGCCTCGTAAAGGGCCTTAGCAGTTTTCGCATGGTAAAAATGCTCGCATTCAGCTACCGGCAGGTGGTTGCGAATGGCTAGGCGAGCAGCAGCATCGCGGGTAAGCCACTGCGAGCGAGTCGTCGCGTCAGCTGAGGCTGGTGGGGCAGTGGAGGCACCAGTCGCTAGGTCATAGAGCGAAACACCGTCCCTAGCGTCGCTCAGCAGGTACAGCTGCAGGTACTAGAGCTAGGTTTCGAAGTTGACTGGGCGGCCGTCAGGATCGAATGCGAGAATACGCAGAGTGGCAATAGTTTAGCAGCTTAGTAGCAGGGCAGGGCAGAGGCAGCGCAAGGGCTGCAGAGGTTTCAAGCAGGCAGCAAGGGCGGCGCGCGAGGCTGTAAGGGCAGGGCGCAGGCTGCAAGGGCGTTGCGCGGGGCTGCAAGGGTGGCGCACGGGGCAGAGCCGAGGCAGCTCGAAGGCTGTTGGGGCAGGGCGCGGGCTGCAAGGGGCTGCGCGCGGGGCAGGGCAGAGGCAGCTCGAGGGCTGCTGGGGCAGGGCGCGGGTTGCAAGGGGCTGCGCGCAGGGTGGGGCAGAGGCAGCGCGAGGGCTACTGGGGCAGGGCGCGGGCTGGAAGGGCGGTGCGCGGGGCAGGGCAGAGGCAGCGCGAGGGCTGCAGGGGCTCGCGCAGGGCTGCAGACGGCAGCGCGCGGGCTGCAGGGGCAGCGCGTGGGGCCGCAAATGGGCAGTGCGTGAGCTGCTGGGGCTGCGCGCGGGCGGTGAGGGCGGCGCGCAGGCTGCTGGCGCGGTGCGCGCGGGGCTGCAATGGGCCGTGCCCGGGCGGCGAAGGCGGCGCGCGGGCGGTGAAGGCAGCGCGCGGGCGGTGAAGGCAGCGCGCGGGCTGCGAATAGGCGACACGCGCGGGCTGCAGGGGCGGCGTGCGGGATTGCAGGGGCGGCGCGCGTGGGCGGTATAGGGCAGGGTAGGGCGTGGGGTAGCGCGGTAACTGGTGGGCCCTAAAAAAAATCGGACCTACGGACCTACTGCTCTTAATACCATGTTGAGAATCTAGGCCAAGAATGATTGGGCTAGGAAGCAATGGGATGCAAATGTGAAAACCCTAGAAGGGTTGTACCCCTTAGTGGCTACCCCACTATAGCCTACACAATATGCACAACATATAGTTTGACAATTCTCACCAACGACGCCCCCGCGCCCTTCCCCTCGGGCTCTGTACCGGGCATCAACGCCACGGGCGTGGTGATGCGGTTCATTGTGGACCACACGGCCGCTGTTGTGCCTTCGCCTCCTGTCCCCAAGAAGCTCGTTGTGAGTGAGTGTGTGTGTGTGTGTGTGTGTGTGTGTGTGTGCGCGCGCGCTCGCTGTGGGAGGGCAGCACGGGTGTGCTCTTGTCGAGTATTCCCCTTGGTGGGCAGCAACGCCACGGGCGTGGTCATGCGGTTTCTGGTGGACAGCTCAGGTGTTGTGTCGTCGCTACCTGTCCCGAAGAACAAGCTTCTTCAGGTGTTATGAGTCGGTGTGCTCTGTGGGCAGGGCAGCAGCAGCACGGGTGTGCTGTAGAGTATTTCTCCCGTCCTCTCTCGGACCCCGGAGCTGCCCCTCTGTCTTAGGCTTCTCCCTTTGATACCAAGGAGAGGTGAAGTGTGCCACTGAAAGTGCACGCCCCACTCCAACCGCCCTTTGATGTTCCTTGACGGATCAGCCCCCTCCTTTCTTCCTCCCTGCTTCCCACAACCCCGCCCTCACATCTCTCCTCCTCCCCAAACCCCCACCCCACCACTTTCTTTCTCGCACCTCCGCTCTCCTCTCTCCTCTCCACACCTTCCCTCACCCCTTTCCTCCCCACATCTTCCCTCTCACCGCGCCAGTCCCTTCCCAAGTTCCGTCCCATGTAACCAAAGAGAGGTGGATGACAAGCCTGCCTGAGCGCCTCACTCGCGCTCTCTCCTCGCATCCCCCTTCCCCCGTGGCAGTCCCTTCCCAAGCTGCGCCTCTCCCGTGTGATCAAGGAGAGGTGAATGACAGCCGTGCAGGTGAATTCGCGCATCACCTTCAATGGCCCTGGTTTCAGTGATCCCGCAACCGAGACTCCCAATCGGGTGAGTGTAGCGAGGTGACTCTTGAGTCACGGGTGAGTGTAGCGAGGCGAGGCACCCGAGATGGTAGAGTGTAGAGGTGGAGAGGCACCCATGCAGATGAGTGTATAGGCAAGGCACATTGGCACACCATGCCTTACACAGTGACACCCATCCCATCCACTTGTTTCGCATTCACCCCATATCCCCACGCCTGCTGTCTTTCCACGATGCGTGCCATGTGCCATATGCCACATGCCACATGCCATGTGCTACCCTGTCCATATGTGCCTTGTGAGCAGGACTCGGAGGAGCTATGGCACATCATCAACAACACATCAGCGGCGTGCATGGGTGTGGGACGCGTGTGGCACTGCCCACATCATGGAGCATGAGGGCAATGAGATGATGCGGCCCCTCATTATCAAGTAAAGAGCATGGGGAGCAGGAGGATGTGTGCAGGGTGTAGTGAGCACAGCTGCATGCATGGTGTGGGATGGGAATAATGTAGCCCAAGCTGGGTGCGGCACAACTCATGTCGATAAAATGGAAAGAGATAAAGATGTACATGCTCATTTTATTTTTCATCCAATGTGCCAGTGGTCTAGTGGTAGAATAGCACCCTGCCATCAGCTCGGTGCAGACCCGGGTTCGATTCCCGGCTGGCACAGCCTAGTTTTGGAGGATTAAGTTTTTGCGTCCTCATTCTCCGCTGCTGCCATATGATCAGCTCTTTTGCATTAGGGTTTCCGTGTATGGACTCCCGAATCAGCGTCCATCCTGAAAAGGTACGGGGCAGAAGTGCAACAGAAGCATGATATTGTATTTGACATTCGGGATTTTAGCACCACGAGCTTGCGCTCCTGTCTCCCCGCCTCCCGTCCCTTCCCTCTCCCGTCCCTCTTCTCCTTTCATCCCTCCTTGCCTCCCGTCTCTCCCCTCCTTTCATCACTTCCTTCCGCCTGTCCCTCCCCTCCTCGCTTCCCTCACCTATTCCCTCTCTGGGCCTACCCTCCTCTTCCTCCCCTTCCTCACCCTCCGCTCCCTCCCCTTCCTCTCCCTCCTCTCCCTCACCCTGTTCTCCCTCCTCTCCCTCACCCCCCTCGCCCTCCTCACCCTCCCCTACTCACCCTCCTCTCTCTCACCCTCCATTCCCTCTTCGCCCTCCTTGCATTCCTTACCCTCCTCTCCCTCAGTTTTAGCGAAGTGGCAGAGTTTTTCGCGATGTTCAAGGGTTTAGGGGTGAAGCTTGATGATGGTGCTTTGGAGAAATTCTTGCACACATTTTGTCAAAAAACTGACAGCTGAAGCTTATACAGCTCTTCCTAAATTAGTTCCAGTAATCCACCATCTGCACGCAGCCAGAGTGCTACTTCTGCTTTCATGTGCTCTTTGCTGGAACAAGCTAAACGGAACTCAGAAACTTGCCTTTTATAAGCTTTCCAGGCTCCAGATTCAATCACTTCGGCGTGGCCTTGGTCATCGGTCAAATCTTCCATACGTGCATGTCTATCCATAGAAACAGTTTGACTTCTAATATCAGGCAAAACCTCAACTGTGTGTTCACTTTTGCTTGTGCCAGGAAAATGTAGCATCTCATTTATACCAGCGAACCAGTTTCTGCATTCCACACAGAGGCGTTTTAGGTCAGAATGATTTTGGGTTTGGAATGACAACACTCAACTCAACTCAACTCACCCGTCATTCGTGGTTGATGGCTCATCCAACAGGATGGCTAATCCGGCTCTCTGACACCCAGACTCCACATTGTAAACAGCAGGAAGAAACAGCGCCCTAAGAAGTTTAGTGGATCCGGGAAGGATAAGTGAAGCAAGTTCGTCTGTCGTTGGCGTTGGCTTGTAAGGTGCACGATCTGTCAAAGGTCGAAGTCAATATGTCTCTCACACACAGGTCCGTTAGCAATGTTGTAACCTAGGAGGCTCTTACCAATAAGCACCGACGTCATTTGACCAATCAAGCTTGTCGGAGGCTCCATCTCCACAAGACCAACTGGAACCTTCATCCTCTGGTACAGAAGCAAGTGAGACATACTTTTGGAAACATGATGAGAAAAGAATGAGCGAATTCAACCTGAATGTCCAGCGTATTGGATTTTGAAAGATCGCTGGAATGGCGAGTCGCTGCCTGAGACGCAGTTAACCGTTTTGTCTTTTCAGCCAAGCACGTTCTCACTTCCGTGACGTCTCTGGGATCCAGGAAGAGGTTAGGAGGAGTAAGCGGTGCTGCAAAATACAGAACAGCGAGCATATTACTTGCAGACTGCAGGCGGCACGGATGCCAGATTCGCGGGTAATGGACTTGAAAACTTTTGTTTTTTCTTTGACATCGGCCCACAAGATGGAGAAGGCGTTGACAAGGTGACATTCTCCTGTAAGCAGAGAGCATAAGTGCATGTCACTCGTGTATTCTTTTTACGTGTAACGCGTAAAAACAAACCTCTGACGGCAGAGACGTAGAAGGTTTGAGATCATGTAGCAACCTGCGGGAGCAGATGGGTGTTCAGATCTGCAGAGCTAACTTCACAGCAGGGAGATTACAAATACATCGAACGACGCTCACTTTAACTTCCGTTTGGCTTTGTCTCGGATTCGTTCCAACGTGGGATGTTCCATATTTAACCGCGAAAAGAAGGAGCAGCTGCTAAGACGTGTGTCTTGTACAGGTGACTTAGTGGAGAGGAGTAACTGGTGTAGTAGAACGAAATTGAGGAGAGCTGTGGTGTGGGGATCTAGTTGCGTATCCTGACCGATAGCATTTCAGGGTTTGAAGCTTGGAAGGTTGGTTTGGAAATGGGCTCGCGAATTTGTGGGGTGTCGAAATTACTGGGTCGTGTCTTCGCCAAAGTTACCAGATCTTTCGTTCAACCCCTCGCACTACCACAAAGGCAATCCACCCCACAGCAAGGAAAACACCACCAGTGCTGCCAAACCCCCCAACCAGGGAGCAACCACTACTGTCGTGAATCTAGGCACCAGTAGGATTCACCTGGGGTCCTGTGCCGAAGTGACAGCGGTTAAACGTTAACATAACGTTCCGATCGTGACGGGGAACTGGGCCGAAGCGGGCAAAAATTAGGTCAGCACCGATCGTCCGACCGCGATTCCGGGTTTAGTCTCCTGAAACACGCATTGGACCGCAGCGTGGTATCGAGGCCGCTTGTCACAGGGGATCAGGTCAGCAGCGGTCTCCCTATCGCGAAGATGCGACACTATGATCTCTTTCTCCCTTTCCCTTGCGATCGTTCCCCGTCCACCGTTCCTTCTCTCTGTTTCACCGTCGGCCTCCCTCGCCTGTTCTCTCTCGTCGCCCTGTTTCCCATTTTTCTCTAACTGCCATCTCTCCCCCGTTCCCTGCGTTCTCTCTGCGCCATCTATATCTCGGGGTCCTGCTTTCATCCCCCTGTACTCTCCTAGGACTTGGATGTTGGACTGACATTCCCACGGGCTCGCGCTCCCGTCCCTCCCCTCCTCCCGTCCCTCTCCTCCTCCCGGCCCTCTCCTCCTCCCGTCCCTCCACTCCTCCCGTCCCTCCACTCCTCCCGTCCCTTCCCTCTCTCGTCCCTCCCCTCTCCCGTCCCTCCCTCCTCCCGTCCCTCCCTTTTCCCGTCTCTCTCCTCCTCCCGTCTCTCCCCTCCTCTCGTCCCTCCCCCTCTCCCTTTCCTCCATTCCTGCCGTCCCTCCTCTCCTCGCTTCCCTCCCCTACCCCCTCTCCCTCCCCTTCTCCGTCTCCCTCCTCACACCCCTCTCCCCCCTCTCCCTCCTCTCCTCCTCTCCCTCCTTTCCTCATCCTCCTCGCCCTTCTCTCCCTCCACTTCCTCCCCTTCCTTTCCATCCTCTCCCTCCTTTCCTCAACCCCCTCTTCCTACTCCCATACCTCTCAACCAAACCGCTTCTTCTGTCTTTTCTCCCACTTCCAGGCTTTAAACTTTGGTTTGGGGGTTGAGGAGAGATCTGGGAGATCTCAGAAGTGACCTCAATCTAGTTGAGGAGAAACAGCGTCATTGTTGGCTGCCCCATTTCGAGCCGACTCAACAGCAGATGCGTTAGCCACATTCTCCTAGTGTCCTGGACGGTCAACTCAAATCGCTTTGCCCACTCTGAATGAGTCGACTCCTCCACGTCTCCTTTCTCTCCCTCTCCACACTGCAATGCTGCAAGCGGGCAGGTTCTGTGGTGGATCGCAGCAGCTCGCTTTTTTTTTTAGAATCCTCAAATAACGACCTTTGAGGGCTCAAGAGACGAGCAGGCAGGCCCTGTGGCTGTGGATCGCAGCAGCAGCGGCACCATCACTCTTCCCTTCGCTTTCAACCCACTGACGTCACATAGCGTGGTCTCGCCACAATGACAGGTGATGATGGTGATGGTGAGGTGATGGTGATGACAGTGTTAAGGCTAATAGTGATGGTGAGGTGATAACGTCATGCACTTCCAGATTTGATTTGCTTGTGGAGAGCGAATCAGCTCCAAGTTTGTGTCAACTTTGCTCGTCTTGACTTCCCACCCTCCTGTCCCTCCCCTCACACCTCTTTCCTATGGATGGTGTGCTGCGCCCCGCTCTCCTTGTCCCCGGCTCCACAGACTACGAGGGCGAGCAGCAGATGGAGGTGGAGGCTTTGGAGGCGATTCTCATGGACGAGTTTGAGAGTGAGTTGCTTTGCCGCCTGTGTGCTGTGTGGTGGATTAAGAGGCGACTTCTGAGGCGCCTCAAAAGGCGAGCAGCAGATGGAGGTGGAGGCTTTGGAGGCGATTCTCATGGACGAGTTTGAGAGTGAGTCCCTTTGTTTAGCCAAATGGCACGACCCTTTTTTAAGCTCCACTTCCTCGTCTGTGCTGCTCGCAAGCCCCCCCCCCCCCCCCTGTGGGTCGCTTCCCCCTCCCTGCTGTTCCCGTCTCTCCTCCCTGCTGCTCGAATCCCCCCTCCCTGCTTTTCCCTTCCCTTCCCCCTCCCTGCTGCTCGAACCCCCCCGCTCTGCTGCTCCCTTCCCCACCCCCTCTCTGCTGCTCTCTCGCACTGTGTGCAAGGTGGCTCTGCCAGCTTTTTAACTCCTTCCATTCCACGGGTGGTCATCCCTCCCTGCTCTGCAGGGGTGGACGACACATCAGGCCTGGGCATGCCATCGGATAAACCATGCTATCTCATTACAATATGATAGCTCCCGCCCCTCCTCCTCCCCTCCCTCCCCATCCCCGGTTGGTCATCCCATCCCTGCTCTGCAGGGGTGGACGACACATCAGGCCTGGGCATGCCATCGGATAAGCCATGCTATCTCATTACAATATGATAGCTCCCGCCCCTCCTCCTCCCCTCCCTCCCCATCCCCGGTTGGTCATCCCATCCCTGCTCTGCAGGGGTGGACGACACATCAGGCCTGGGCATGCCATCGGATAAACCATGCTATCTCATTACAATATGATAGCTCCCGCCCCTCCTCCTCCCCTCCCTCCCCATCCCCGGTTGGTCATCCCATCCCTGCTCTGCAGGGGTGGACGACACATCAGGCCTGGCCTGGGCATGCCATCGGATAAGCCATGCTATCTCATTACAATATGATAGCTCCCGCCCCTCCTCCTCCCCTCCCTCCCCATCCCCGGTTGGTCATCCCATCCCTGCTCTGCAGGGGTGGACGACACATCAGGCCTGGGCATGCCATCGGATAAACCATGCTACCTAATCACAATATCGCCCAAGGTAATGGTGACTCGTGGTGCTCGTTGGGCTGCGTCATGCCATGCCGTGCCATCCCGTGTCATGCCATGCCATGCCATGCCATGCCATGCCATGCCATGCCGTGCCATGCCGTGCCATGCCGTGCCATGCCGTGCCAGCCATGATGCCATGCCATGCCGTTCCATGCTACCACATCACGATATTGCCCAAGGTAACGTGATGAGTGGGGATGTATCAAGCCGTGCCATGCTATGCCACTCCATGCTCCCACATCCCCATATTGCCTAAGGAATTGGTGGCTGGCTAGTGGTGCTACGTGGGGCTGATTAACCAAGGCAATAATAATTTCATGACATGCCACTCCGTGCTCCCACATCACAATATTGCCCAAGGTAATGTGAATGCTTGGTGACATGCCATGCCATGCTGTGCCATGGCACGATATCAGATCACTGTGCCATGGCACGATATCAGATCACTGTGTCGTGATGTCTCTTCTACGAAAATGGCCACATGCTTGCGTTGGCGTGACCATATATGCCATTCATAATGGTTGACAAAATTGTCACCAGGCTTCCCTGTCGGTGCCATGCAACCCGTTAGGTTGATGCCACGGCTTCTAATGTTCTCAACATGGGAAGTTTTTACATGGTGGGGTGGGATGGGGTCATGGTTGTGCGTGCTGCCTGCTTCTGTGTCGACTCTCAAGCATTGATGTGGCAGTTCTCTGCCCTCACACGGCGGGATTGTGTTTGTGGTTGTGGTTGTGGTTGTGTGTGTTGTTGATGTGAGCAGGGGGACGACGAGGAAGAGACAACACCTTTCCCAGGTACATCTTTCGTTCCATATTCCATGTGCGATGTGCCGTGTGCCATGTGCTGTACGTCATGGTAAGAATGTGTAGCACTCTGTGAATGTAAGAATGTGAGTCAATGCAGTATAACAAGGGCTGGGCCGGCTGACTTCCCCACTCATCTATCTCTGCTCTCTAGCCGTTTTCTGTGTTCAGAGATCACCTCCTCTTTCTATGATTTCCTCCTCGTCCTGTCTTCCACCCCTTTTTCTCCCCCCCTTCCCCCTCCTTGCCTCCCCTTTCTGGCAGTGCGGCTGGCACTCTACTTCGACGACACGCCCACCCACCTAAACCGATGAGCCAATTTCTTCTAGGCACCTAATCATTTCTCTCTTCTCTCGTTTCTCCTCGTCCCATCTGTCCCCCTTCTTCTCTGCACCACCTCCCCTTCCTGGCAGTGTGGTTGATACTCTACTTTGCCCACACGCCCACCTACCCCGATGACCCAATTTTTCTAGGCGCCTAATCTTGCTTGTTCTCTTCTCGCTTTTCTCCTCGTCCCCTGTATTCCCCTTCTTCTCCGCACCCCCCCCTGGCAGTGCGGCTGGCACTCTACTTTGCCCACACGCCCACCCACCTAACCCGATGAGTCACCACTGCTATGTTTGAGTCATTTCTGTGAATTAGATATATATATATATATATAAATAAAAAAAATCTCTTTTCTCCTCATCCCCTCTTTCCACCCTGGCAGTGCGGCTGGCACTCTTCTTTGCCCACACGCCCACCTACCCTGATGAGCCACCGCTACTCACCGTGCGAAGGTGATTCAACCAAACGTGGTTTTATGACATGTGGTACAATCTAATTACAAGTAACTGCATTGGAATTGATCTTATTTCTCATGGCTCGTCCAATATCGTATTGCGTGTGTGGAATGACATGGCCACATGGCATGGCATGATGGCACCGTGTGGTGTGGCATGGCATGATTGCATGGTGTGGCACGTGCAGCCTACAAGGAGTGAGAGCCGTCGATCTGGAGGAGATTCGCAACAAGCTCAAGGAAGAGGTGAGCTAACGACGGCCCGTCTGCAGTTCTCCTGTTTCTGTTGTTTCTTTTCATAAGCCACGTGCAGCCTACAAGGAGTGAGAGCCGTCGATCTGGAGGAGATTCGCAACAAGCTCAAGGAAGAGGTGTGAGCACGATGCCTTTCCAGTCGTGCTGTTTCCTTTATCTCATCAGCAATGGGATCTCTCTGTATAATCACGAAAGCCTTTGTCATGGTGAGTTCTTCCTGTGCCACCTGCGTTTTGAGTAATGTTTGCTATTTCTCAAGTACTGAAAGGGCGAATGATGGATAAAAGAAAAAGGGATGGGCTCGAGCCAAGCCATCTGCATGTAGCATCATCATCAGCACCATCATACCATCATCACCGCTCTCGTTCTGCTTCTCACCACTCACCACCGCACTGCATCCATTTGCATCGGCTGAGACCGCATCTCCCGCAGCCCACTCATCGAAGCAACCCTTCGATTTAAGCACACTGCCTCCTTTGAGCGTCGCATCACCGGTGTGTGATTGCGTGCGTGCAAAGAGGGGCGAGTGCTGGGGGTGTGATGGAACCAGAAGTGCATCTGACGCCCTGCCTCTTGCTTGTTCCCTCACTACTACTATCTATGCACTAAATTACTTTGTCATCGAGTATGCTTTCCTGTTAAGGCGTGTCGTGTCATGCGTTGTACAGTACAGTAACCTTGCATTGCAATGGGCCAAAGATTTTGGAGTCACTTTTGAAGAGGTGAGGTTACGAACGATGGCCCTCCAGTCCAGTCCTGTTTCTTTTAACTCAGAAACCATGTTTCTCTCTGTAAAAGCTTTCCGTGTTGAGGTCTGGATCGTAAGTTTTTTTTTTTCTACATTCCATGTTCTTATAATGGGTATGTTTCATACAAAGTGGTATCGGTAAACTCCTTGTTCCGCGTCACTTGTATTTGTCGCGCCAGACTTGTTTCAAAAATGGGCATTTTCATACTGAGTCATTAGTATCATCCTTTTGTATGCCACCTGCATTTTGAGCCATGTTTGCTATTAGTACTGCAAGGGCGAATGATGGATAAAAGAAAAAGGGATGGGCTCGAGCCAAGCCATTTGCATGTAGCATCATCATCATCAACATCATACCATCACCGCCACTCTCGTTCTGCTTCTCACCACTCACCACCGCACAGCATCCATTCGCATCGGCTGAGACCGCATCTCCCGCAGCCCACTCATTGAAGCAACCCTTCGATTTAAGCACACTGCCTCCTTTGCGCGTCGCATCACCGGTGTGTGATTGTGGCGTGAAAAGAGGGGCGTGTGCTGGGAGTGTGATGGAACCAGAAGTGCATCTGACGCCCTGCCTCTTGCTTGTTCCCTCACTACTACTGTTTATGCACGGAAAAACTTGGTCATTGAGTGTGGGTTCCCGTTAAGGTGGGTCGTGTCATTTGTTTTACAGTGACCTTGCAATGACCCAAAGATATTGGAGTTGCCTTTAAAAAGGTCAGGTTACGATGGCATCCAGTCCTCCGGTTCTATAATCTCAGAAGCAATGACTATCTTTTTCAGTGTCTAAGCTATCCGTGTTTGAGGTATGGATTCTAAATCCTGTTCCTATATGGATGGTTATGTTTCATACAAAGTGGTACCTGTAATCTCTTTTGTTTTTGTTGACCTTGTGTCGCATCAAGCTTGTTCCTATGGGCCCTTATGCTTATTTGTTCCTATGCCACCGGCTTTTAAGCCATCGTTAGTTGCTATATTTCAAGTACCAAAAGGGCGAATGATGGATAAAATTTAAGGGATGGGCTCGAGCCATCACCACCACCACCATACCATCACCACCACTCTCTTTCCGCTTCTCATCTCACCACCCACCACCACACTGCATCCATTTGCATCGGCCGAGACCGCATCTCCCGCAGCCCACTCATCGAAGCAACCCTTCGATTTAAGCACACTGCCTCCTTTGTGCGTCGCATCACCAGTGTGTGGTCGCGTGCGTGCAAGGAGGGGCGAGTGCTTGGAGTGTGATGGAACCAGAAGTGCATCTGACGCCCTTGTACTTCCCTCACTGTTACACAGTCTATGCAGTATATAACCCATCACGTCATTGTTTGTGGGTTCCTATTTTTAAGGTGTGCCGTTGCATTAGTTGTACAGTAACCTTGCAGTGACTCCTCGTGCATTAGCGTAACACTTCCTCGTGCTCGTTCTGTCAAGGCGTGTTACGCATTTTGGCTGGCTGAAGCGAGCCTGGGTTTTGGATAGGGCGATGATTTTTACACTACATATGAAGAGGCTCAATGCGAGACAGTGGTTTCTATACTCGTATAACTCTCTCGCTTCCCCGGTCTTTCCCAATCTTCCCCAATCTCCCTCTCGAGCTCCATCGTTTTTCCAGGGTACCCTTCTCCCTCTTTCGCCCTCTCCCCGACTGTTCCTCCCTCGCTTCTCGCCTCCTCCTCTCCTCTTTAGACCGAGGCAAACCTGGGCATGGCAAGAATGTCAAAATGGCCCGTGCCTTGCTTTGAGATTTATCAAACTGCTTCCATCTATGCCCCCATGCCCCCGTGTCCCCATGCCTGCATCCATTCCTCCATCCATGTCCTCACTCCTTCACCATTCCTTCAGGCTGAGGCGAATCTTGGGATGGGAATGATGTACACTCTTGCCACTTCTACATTCTCTTAAAGCCTGAAATCCTGCTCCGTGCCTCCCTCCATCCATGCACACCCACAGGCCGAGGCAAACCTTGGCATGGCAATGATGTACACTCTTGCCACGTCAGCGAAGGAGTGGCTTAGAGAGACGAACCTTGGGATGGGTCATGATGTCAAAATGTCCTGTGCCCCCATTCCTCCATCCATCCCCACCCTCCCTTCAGGCGGAGGCTAATCTTGGGATGGCAATGATGTACACTCTTGCCACGTCAGCCAAGGAGTGGCTGAGAGAGAAGTACGGAGGAGTGGAGGAGGAGGAAGAGGAGGAAGAGAAGGAGGAGGTGAGTGCATGTATCAATGGTAGTGGAAGTGGGATGGCAGAGTAGAAATTGGAGAGGAGTACAGGGGAAGGAGGAGGTGGAAGAGGAGGTGAAGGAGTAGGTCAGGCAGTCCTTGTTCTAAGGGGGGAGCAAGAGAGAGAGGAGAAGAAGGGGAGTTTTGCCTGTGCAAGCTACCGGTGACAATGAAGGCATGCCTTCATGAGGGCAAGATTAAAGCCCTTTTAGCCGGCTTGATGCATGCATGGTGTTGTTACCTGTTGCCCTCTCTCTCTCTCCTTCCGCTCCCCTCCGTTATCTCTCCTTTGTCAGTTGATGCAGCTGCACGGGCTGCCGATGGCACCGGAGACATTCATTGAGGCCTCCCTTTTTTAAGTGATTGGATTCCTGCGTGTACAGTCAATCTCTTGCTCTCTCCGTTTGTCCTTGCTCTCTTGCTCGCCTGCTCCTAAGTCACCCCCTTTCAGGTAATTGGGCCGCACGGGGTGCCAGTGACGGTGGATACATAACATTCACAGAGGCCATTCTCTTGAAATTTCTGAATTCCTGCGTGTGCATATCTCTCTGTCGCCTGTTTTCCTGATTCAAATCAAACCCCTATTATTAGGTGATTGAGCCACACGGGCTGCCAGTGACAGTGGAGACATTCACAGAGTGGCGAGATCGGTTCGAGGCAGAGATAGCCCTGGAGAAGGCCAAGTGAGACCTCCTGTTAGAGTCGATTGCAGTCAACCGTAGCCAGTTGCATGTTAAAGAAAGGTAACAGCAGTAAACAGCAGTCAGCAGCAGTCAAAAGCAGTCAACTGCAATTGTTCGCAGTCACAGTGGAGAGATTCACAGAGTGGCGAGATCGGTTCGAGGCAGAGATAGCCCTGGAGAAGGCCAAGTGAGACGAGACCCCACTTGCAGTCAAGTGTTAAGAGTCAATCTGCAATCAAGTGCAGTCAAGAGCAGTCAAATCCAATTCAGTTGCAGTCAGGTGCAGTCCAATAGCAGTCAACAGCAATCAACCACAGTCAACAGCAGTCAATGTTATCAGTGCAGTCAATTGCAGTCAAGAGCATTTAACAGCAGTCAACAGCAGTAGTTCAAAGAACTCATCGGAGGCAGGAATAGAATTGCAAAAGAACTCATGTGTTCTTTTGCAAAAAGCAATCGTTTCCTTTCCTTGCACCGCTCGTTTTGAGCTGTCCTCCCCTCACACCCCCTTCTTTTTGTTCCCACCGCCCTTCAAATAGGTTGCTGTCAGATGCGGCACTTGCAGCATCCAAGGAGAAGCGGCTTACAGGCAGACAGTGGTTTGTCCAGGTGAGCGTTTTGAGTCAACTCAAGAAAGCTTACAGACAGACAGGGGTTCGTGCAGGCGAGTGTGGTTTGTGGTTCGTGCAGGTGAGTGCGGTTTGTGGTTCGTGCAGGTGAGTGTGGTTTGTGGTTCGTGCAGGTGAGTGTGGTTTGTGGTTCGTGCAGGTGAGTGTGGTTTGTGGTGCGTGCAGGTGAGTGTGGTTTGTGGTTCGTGCAGGTGAGTGTGGTTTGTGGTTCGTGCAGGTGAGTGCGATTTGTGGTTCGTGCAGGTGAGTGCGGTTTGTGGTTCGTGCAGGTGAGTCGCTTGTGCAGGTGAGTGTGGTTTGTGTTTGGCAGGTGATCGTGATTTGTAACTGATCACTTGAGAGTTTGTATCCGCTCCTGTTCAGGTCAGAGTGGTGTTCGTTACTGTGTAAAGTACCGTAGAGGGCTGTGGCTAAATCACACTTTCTTCCCGCCATCCGTTGGTTGCTTGCTTGTGCGTGCAGAAAGCAAGCAAGGGAATTGTGGTGGATGAGGAGGAGGCAGCAGAGGAGGAGGAAGAGGAGATCGATTTTGATGATGATGATTTCGATGAAGGTGAGAGGGATGGGGGAAGGGAGCTGAGGAGTGGAAGGGTTAGAAGGTTCAGGGGTTTATGCAATGGCAGACGAGGAGGAGGAAGAGGAGATCGATTTTGATGATGATGATTTCGATGAAAGTGAAAAAATTCAAGGAGGGGTGAGGCTGTGGGGGGGGTAGAAGGTAGAAGGCTTGTGGTGCAGTGGCAGCAGAAGAGCATTGATTTAGACAATGATAGCTTCATTGATGAGGGGTAGAAGGATCGAGGAAGGGGTTGGGGGAGATATTGGGGAAAGTGGGGGAAAGTGGGGGAAAGGGGTTCTGGAGGAAGGGAAAAGGGGAAGGGGTTAAGAAGGTGTGTGTGACGGGTGGAAGGCCGAGTGGAATCGCAGAGAGATGGTTATTAAAGGAGAGAGGAGGTTGAGAGGAGAGAGGCAGATAGGAGATTTGCTCTGTTTCTGTCCATCTTGCATGCATATCTGCTTCTGGACATGTATCTGTGCATGGATGGTGATGTGGACATGGTATGTGGTGCATTGTGCATCGTGTGCATACATGGTTCGGGATGTCGTGTGTGTGTCAATGGGTGCATGTTCATGTGCACATATTTATACCAGCTCACATCCATGTTCCTAAAATTGTTCTTGCATGTGTATGCAATGTGCATGCGTGTGGGAGTGAGTGGATCTGTGCAGATATTGACGAGGAGGACATGTTGGATCATTACCTTGCTGAAAAGAACCAAGCTTAGTGGGCTACGCTGTCGTGTTTAGAGGAAATCTCTACAAAGGGCGAACGCTGTTCTTTTTATTGGGACAAAAGGGAATGCGACTGTACCATGAGGTGTTTCACAGTATTGTACCGTACCATCAGAAATAGTAATGGCATTTCACAATAAGATATCAGCAGCTAGTTTTAGGCGTGGCAGACATCTACACTGGTACATGGAGTCAGGAAGCGATGCTTTTTAGCTGCACAACAGAAATGGACTGAGACACCCTATTGATCAAACAGCAGCTTTTATTACTCTAGACAATATGACTACAAAGAAAGGTGCTGAAGGACCTCCAGGCGCTTGATGCTTTGAGAAAGAAGCTACAGAGCTACAGCTTCGCAGGCTTAGGAAAAATGTCAGGGGTAAACTTCTGAGCAGCTTTCATGCTTCCCTTTATCCGCATCTTCCCTCTGACGTCAACCACCAAGCAAAGGGCGAAAATACGTCAAGCTTTGGCATAGGCGTCTTATGAGAAGAAAATGACGAAGAATGAAGCCGCTGGAGCTTACCTGATGAACGCCATTTGCGGATTTAACTTGCCAGTGGCGACAGAAACGAAGTCATCATCAGTAAAAGAGAACATCGCGTCGGGCTTCCCTTCAGACGCTCCTGCATTAACGACACCAAGGACTTCATGGAGGGAAATGGTAGGAGATTTGAGGAGCATAAGGCTAATGCCTCACCTGCCGTGACCTTCTTGGACTTTAAATCCACCGTGAACTTTTCCTCGTTAATCCCAATCTTCTGCAGCCAGAAACAGAACGTTAGAATCTTAAGATAGCAATTACACGCGAATTCTACAATGCTTCATTTCGACCTTGGGGGAGATGTTAAACTGATAGACAAGTCCAATCTTATCCTTCAAATCATCGCCTGCCGGGGTCTGCAAGTAAGCATTCATAAGCTCCAACAACTCTGCAGACTTTAACTTTGAGATGGCTGAAAGCTTGTCGGCGGAAGCCATGGCGATTTCCTGGAAAATCAATACGACCAAGCGAACGCGCCAAGTTAGTGAAAATGGTTCGCTGGCGCGAGATGGATCGTGTCCAGACCGTGATGGTTTTCTGAAGTAAAATGCTTAGTCATGAAAGCAAGGGGAAGGGTTGCTGCCATTGTTGTTGATCAGTGATCATCGCCAGGCGGAACTTCCAAACCAAGGCCAAGTCAGGTGGTCCCTGTCTGATGTCACAAACCAAGTGATCTGACCCATCTGACCCCAGCCCGAACCAGGGTTGTCTGATGACTAGGACGCGGCCGTACCTTCTGTGTTTTCTATTCTGGACAGTTACGAATTGCAGCTTTCGTACAGCTGATGCCTGATTGAGCCCCTCCCGGTTGCCTTGTGATAGAGGCGTATAAGCTGTATCGTAAATTTCGCATAATTTTCGTCAATTCGCAGCTGGCTAAAAAGAACTCGCAGCTGCTTAAAGAGGATCTGTAACCCTATCCGTTGACGTTTTGACTTCAGTCTCTTCAGTATGACCATGGTCTGTTCGTTACTTGTGGTTCATAATCACTGCAACTGGCTGGGGAAAAAACCTCGGGTGCAGCGTTTCCATCCGGTGCAGAGCAAATTCGCGTGCATGGGGTGGGTATCGGCTGTATAGGGGCAAGTACACAAGATGCCCAACCTCTGCACGCAAATTTGCACTGTCTACGATGGAAACTCTGCACCCGTGTATTAGGGTACCAGCCAGTTGCACCCCATTTACAAGCACCTCGAGCAATACGAACCACAAAAACCGAAGTTTGACAGAAGAGACCCATGTCAAACGGTCAACAGCAAGTTACAAAATCCTTAAAAGCCCGCGAATTGACGAAACCTTAGCGAAATGCAAGAAACGCTTAAGAGCCCTCTTTCCAAAGCAACCTTGGGTTATTCAAACGGGCATCGTGTGTACACGTGTGCTTCATCAATCAACTTTGCGGACGTGTAGCCAAATGGGAAATCCAACCCCGTCTATGAATTTTCATGAAACGACCCTGGGTCCAATGCAAAATCCAGTTCCCTATGATCATCTACCGAGATGAACCAGCCATCAAGTTCGGGTCGACCCTCGAGGCACCTCCAGCTGTTGCTGGATATCGAGGTCCAGCTCGTACCTCTCATGTACGTGCTTTGCCGTACGCATGCTGGCCGGTGCAAAACGGGAAACACTAAAGACCGCTTTAAACCGTGTGGAACCGTGCTGCGGTGATGCATAAACTGTAAATGTACGACCTGGACAGCGTGTTCAATCCCCGCCAGTCACCATTCCCCTCCCCTCCCCCCTCGCCTGGTTTTCCAGATGACTCCATTCATGCTTCTGCTCTGTCAGTAGCTGTTTCCAATTTCCTTGTTCCACATAATGGCGATGGCCGCCGTTTCAGTCGATGTCGTGCGTTCCGCGGCCGGTCGTCCGTTTATTGCGCACCGATCAGACGTGGCTGCTAAGCGGAGCCTGAGTCTTCTAGCGCCGCTGGTGAGCGACTTTTTAAGGATTTTTCAGGCCAAAAGTAACAACGGGTCATCCCCCAGCCGCTAGATGGATCGGAGGATAAACATCGGTTTCGGCGAGGCTGTGCTACAAGAGGGGGGGGGGGGGGGGGGGGGGGGGGGGGGGAAGATTAATGCCATTGGCTCTGCTTGAATTAAGATTGTGTTAGCTGCCGTTAGACTGTCGATTTCTTTTAGCGTTAATCGGAGAAGGGCTCATCGGAGAGGTTTGCCCGGTTCGGTCGCTTGCTCCATGCCGCGCAGGATTTATCAAGCTTTTTCTTCTTCTTCCCTCATTCTTCTTCTTGATTGACTAGTTCCTCGTGGTCTGTATTCCTGACATTTCGTCCTGAGCACCCTTTTACAGATACGGATTTACTGAAATTCCTCACGCATGTGCCCCACATTGGCTCCTACACTCCACAATACTTCCTCCCTACTCCTTCCTCCTGCATTATTAGTAGAATTTCTGCAGACCTTCGTATCTCGAGTTTTCGTTTCCGATGCCTTTACTCTCCCTCGGGTCATCTCCACACACGTCTACGCGTTTCCCCATCTCCGCTTTCCCTCTTAGACCGGCCCGTCATACTCTCGCAATTCTCTTTCCCTCTCCCCCGGCGCTTCCCTTCTCCCTCCCTCTTTCTCCGACACACTCCCCTCTCGCTCCTGTCCGATGCAGCCTTGCCTCTCACAAGCCTCGTCCACCCGCATTGCATGCTCCCATCGCCGCAATCCGCGGATCACGGTGCGAGCCACCGGCGAATCGCCTCCGCCTGCTCCCAGCGACAGGGAGTCAGCGTCAGCCGACAATGACGTCAGCATTCCCTCGTCACCCTCTTTGTCCAAGTCAGCACCAGCAGCAGCAGCAGCAGCAGTGGCAACAGCAGCGGTGTGCCTTATGTGCCATTACTGGGTCTGTCTTTAGTCGGAGCAGCAGAAACACTGTACCTCTCTTTTGAGAAGCTGGCGGGGGGGCAGGGCTTGTCCCATTAACGAGTCATGCACTGACGTGCTCAACAGCCCATACGCCTCCCTCTTTGGTATGTCGTCGTCGGCGACTTTTACCTCGCTGCCCTTCCATCCACTCCATTCCTTTCTGGTCCATCCCATTCCCTTCTGTTCCGTTCCATTGTGTTGAATTTTATTTTTCAGCTCTCGTTTCCAGCTTTCGTTACCGTACTCACCCATCTCATATACAAAAAGTTGCAGTGCTTCCTGTAAAACGGCTCACACACACAACAACTTATGTGTCTTGCCCACGTCTCTCCACCTCTCCCTCACTTCCCTCATTCTCACTGGTAGACTTCCTCTTTCCTTACTGATGTTGATCTGCTGCCTTGCTCCATCCTCACTCTCATCACTCATTTCCTCTTCAAATTCACCCCTGCCCTCCTTCATTGGCACCACAGTGAAGTACTGTTACCTCCTCGCCATCCTTATTCGTTCTTTCTTCTTCCCATCATCTTCACTTGCAATCCATCACTTACCACACTTTATCCCTTCCAACCCATTCCATCCAACTCATCTCATCCCTTCCGATCCTTCTGTTCCAATACCTCCCTTCCAACCCCGGTCCCCACAGGCATCCCCCTCCCAGTCTTCGGCTTTGCTGCCTACTCCACCGTCGCCCTCCTCACCTACCTCTCCCGCCCCTCCTCTCCGCAAACCCCTCTCGAGGCCTCCACTCTCTCCTCCACTGCACGCTGGCTGCTTCTCTCCCTCACGGCTGCCATGGCTACCACCAGCGGCTACCTCATGTTCATCCTCGCTACCGAGCTGGACGGCGCGTTTTGCCTCTATTGTGTCACCTCAGCTACTCTGTCCACGTTGCTGTTTGCCCTCACAGTGAAGGTAGTTTTTTTTTTTTTAAATTGAAAACGTGGATAGGGCTGTTCAAGTAAGCCTTTCACTGTCCTTTGAAACCCTCACCCTTCCTTCTCAATTGGTCACGTGATTTGTCAAAAGTGTGTATATCACATGAATTGCCAATGATTTTCACCCTTTCCTTTGCTCACATGCCGCCTCTTTTCTGGCCTTTCTCTGCCTCCACTTCCTCCTGTGCCGCCCTCCCTCCCGTCCCTCCCCACTTCCTTTTCCCCCTCTCCTCCCCACCAGTCCTTCTCATGGCGTGATTTAGCAGGCGCTGCTGCCACAGCTAGCCCTTGTGACAGCAACCGTCGTGGCTCTCTCCCTCTCCTCAACTGTTTTGCTTCCTCTTTCTGGTCTTCATGTACCGCCCCTCCCTCCTGTTGCCCTCCTCTCTTCAGTCCGTCTCATGGCAGGATTTGCAGCAGGCGCTGCTGCCCCAGCTAGCTCTGGTGACGGCACCAACCAGTAACTCTCTCCCTCTCCTTAACTGTTATGCTTCCGCCTCTCTGGTCTTCCTGTGCCACCCCTCCCCCCGTGCCTGCCCTCCCCGCAGTCCTTCTCATGGCGAGAGTTGCAGCAGGCGCTGCTGCCCCAGCTAGCCCTGGTGACGGCAACCGCTGTGGCTCTCTCCCTCTCCTTTGCTGATGTCAGGTCCGCCTATGCTCGGTGGGTCTTTTGAGTGTGGCCGGGCCTCCATGGTCTCTTTTCAGCCTGCTCCGTTTTGCCTGTCATTTCTTGGCTTGCAACTTGTACCTCTTCAAAGCATGTCAGCACTGATACCCGTCGTCTTGTGATTGGTCAAGAAGCCTGACCTTCTCTTTCCCTTCTCTCGTCCTTTCTCCCTTTCAAATAAGGTGTTTTTCGTGTTTTTTACTTGTCATTTTGTTGTGAATTCATTGATCACATGCTCAGGGACACCGAGATTGACCTTGCTGCTATTGAGCCCGAGGTCACGACTGTTTCGACACCTGTGCGCGTGCAATTGGCCAAGCATCTGTCGAATGTTGGGGCAAAGCTGTATGGCGCCTTCTGGTGCTCGCACTGCTATGAACAAAAGCAGGTGGGTGGTTGTATTTGACTCGTATTCGTTTATGTGAATGTCTAGGTTTTGCAACGAGCTGAGGACATGTTTATTCTTTTCCTTGGTGACCTTTGCGTTGCAGGCTTTTGGAGCAGAAGCTTCCAAGTACCTTCCGTACGTGGAGTGCTATCCAGAGGGCTTCAGGGCAGGAGTGAAGCTTGCTAAAACGTGCCAGGATGCCAATATTGAAGGATTCCCAACATGGATCATTGATGGCCAGGTGAGCTCCCTTTGAAGCAAATGTTAAATTGATTGTAGAAATGCTTGGCTAAGGCTTGATGGAGCAGCACTACCTGCTTGTGGTTATATGTGGCTTTGCATCCATGATGGCATCCGTTTATTAGTTCTCCCAGCTTCCACTTCTCTGTCGATGCCGCTGAAATTGTGTTCCATCTTGCATTGCATTGCATCCTATCCTACGGGCAATTCTGCAGGTTTTGCCAGGAGAACAAGACCTTGATGAACTTGCTCGCCTCACAGGTTTTGAGGGGAAGTGAATTCATGTGGTTCAATTCAATGGATTTAGAAGGGAAAAAGAGTCTCTGAAGAGTCTCTTGTCTGTAGCCAGGCCACATTAATATATGCAATCACAATTAATGCATGTGGTATTAATAGGTTGTGAAAGTAAAATGAGCAGCAGGTATGTTGTGAGAGCAACAGAGCCTAAAGAGCAGCAGACATTGGTGGCATTCATGCTTTGGCTCTTGCCAAATACTTCCAGTGTTAATCATTGTTCACAATGGTTGCACATTGTTCTTCAAAGCCATCTGCCATTTAGTTTTGCCATGTCCTTCCGTGGTTGTGCCTTTTTCACTTCCACCATCTTCCCACAGACCTCATGCATTCTGCAAGAAAGTGACAGCGGTTTGCATTACCGTACATGACCACAGCCCAGACAACGAATAACCATGCGTGACATACACTCACCTTCCAATAAGAAGCACATCCTCGGCTGCCTGCTCTGCCTGGAAAGTAACAAACCCAAATCCCCTGCATCGGGCCTTCTCATCTTCGTCGCGAAGGACTTGAATCTCTGTGATCTGACTTCATGCGTGAGACACGTTGCGACGCATGAACTCACGTCCACGGATGCAGGTGTTACAACATACGGTTCCGAATCGAGCGAAGTAGGAGGTGAACTCTTCGTCAGACATGGAAGGTGGAAGACCTCCAACAAAAAGCTTTCGCGTTCTTGGGCCGTTTTCCTGTTCACATAATCAACTGGCTTTCTTGATCCTGCCTAGGAATGTTTCGAAGACTTCAGATGAAATTTTAAATATTCAATGGTTCTGCCCTTACTGGTCTCAACACGACTTGTTTTCCGCGCGGTTCTGGCTCCTTGACTTCCACTAGCCTGAAAGCGGTAGTGAGTGGAACAACTGGTTGGAAACGGAAAGAAAAACGCCGAAACGGTTGTTACCGTCCGAAGATGGAGTGAGGAGGAGCTGTCACCACCTTGGCTACGGAAGACGGCTCAAGAAAGGTGACAAACCCGAACCCTCTCGACCTGCCTGTCGCTTGATCTTTCACGACAACTGCATTACATGGCACGGGTTGTAAATCGTGGAACAGGAGGAAAGATGGCATGCCGTTGGGATGACACTAGCCTGCTTCGATGACGCTTCCGTACTGTTGGAAGTACTCGACCAGATCGTCGGATGTGGTTTGCCATGGTAATCCACCAACGAAGACCTTAGACGGCATTGTCATAAATAGTTGCTATTGGAATAAGGCTGAGGGAGCCGTGACAATACAATGCTGTGAGGACGAAGAGGGAAAGAGTGGAGCTTTGGTCTACCCTCACAAGGATCGCACCAGACATTATGTGTTCGATTCACAATTAGGGCGTGGAACATCCTGAAAATAGTCAAAACTGTCAGATGATATGTTTCAGTAGATTATGGTACGTTTCAGAGCGGTGACAGTCTGGACTTTCCGACTTCCGTACAAAATTCACATCGCGTATTGTACTCCGCCCTTGCACACATGTGAAGTGAACAATCCTTGGGAACGGGTTATTCAGTCGGTGCTCATTTCAAGAACACCAGGTAGGCGGGCGGCATGTGAGTGAAACGAGTTTTGGTCAGTTCGCCACATTCGCCCTTGTCGCCACGGGCAAAATTGTGATTGTAAAATGAAATTGGAATGTGAAACGAGTCTAGGGGTTTAAGTTCGTAACCAGGTAAACAATTCTGATGACAGGCAGCCGTTGTTGTTTATGAACTGTAGAAGGGTACGGTCACTGCAAAGGGTGTTTTCACGCGACTGATAAAGAGTTTCACGGAATCAGTCACAATCAACTGGTAAAAAAAAACGCGAATGGTCACAGATGAAATTCCCGCCAAAACAAAATGAAACCCAAAAAGAATCTGGGTGCATTTTCGGATTAATCAACCCTAACACGTAACTAGCCAGGTGTTTAGGGTTGATCCGTTCCCGAACCGCATCCGATTCCGATTGGGTTTTAGTTTTTTTTACAAGTTCGCAGATTGGTTGGGGGCGAGCGGGAATTTTGTTGAGTTTCAAGTTTTTTTGGCGGGAGTTACATGTGTGACCATTCGCGTGATTTTTTACCTGTTGTTAATGACTGAATCCGTGACCCCACTTACCAAACCCGTCAGGAAACCCGATACAGTGACCGTACGCGTTTTTTTTGTACCATTTACGTTATCAAGTCCCAAGTTCGTTACTTGTGACATATTTTCCCTTGTTTATGAACTGTAGATGTTTTTCTTCCTCGACTTGGTGACTGTACCCCGAAATCAGCACAATCACCACTTACAGGAAAACGTTCGCGAGTGACTGATTTTCTAATTGTGATGAGCAAATTTTTGTGATAGGCTGAGCATCGACTGTAATTCCAGCACGATAATGACGTGGGGCACTATCACACATCAGCAGATACTGAAGGGAAACAGAGATGTCGGTGCCACATCAGCAATTACCACCCCCTGCAATCACATCATGACTGGAATGGAAGGGTGCACGACCCACTCCCCTTGAGGATGTGCTATCTGCTTCCCGATTTTGTTTTGTAACCGCTTTAGAAAGAAATGCAACGCTGTGCGAAGCTGAACATCTCACCTAAACCTTGCAACATCCCCAGGAAAGTCTCGCCTCTGCTCAACCACCTCGCTCTGCAGCTCAACCCACTCCACCCCATCATCAGCAAAGCAAAGCAACGAGCCAAGCCAGCCAAGCACAACCGTCGTTCCATCCTTCCTCACATTTATCCAACCGCCTCTTCACACACAAGGCGAACCGCAGCTTTCAATTGCAGCTCAAACAACCGTCTCCCAAGCTGTGACGACACTGTAGTTTTGCGAGCGAGCGGTTATTTATTCATGATTTTCGGGCTGCATTGCGTGGTAGCGTTCTACTAGTCCCGTTTCTTACTCCGCTTGGTTCTGATTGACACATATCGTTCTTGGTCGCTGCTACTTCCGGTTGTAGCATGAATGCTTCCGCGTCGGCATTCTCGGACGAGCCAGCTCGGCTCGATAGTCCGTGCTCTTGCAACAAGGTACAGTATCCACTGCTTAACGACCGTTGCACATCATTCTGCTTAAACTATTGTTACTTAATTATTATATTTCGTCCCGTCCTTAGTCACATTCCCCTCGTCCCGTTTCGCTCGGCGACTAACGTCTTGATTGTCCTCTCCCCGTCCTTCATCTCGCTCGCTCTGACATACTCGCTCCCTGCTGCCTGGAACCGCGAAAGCAGGCAGGAGATCATGACCATACACAATGCCAGGGAGGCAACCAAAGTAAGAACGCACAGAATGTGCCAGACACGGTAATCGCAGCCAATTCCAATCAATCCGGCAGCCAATCAGAGCAGCTCAAAGAATCGCCGCCCTCCGCACTTAGCAACGGCAAGTCATGCTCCGCTGCAGCGGAAACAGTGACGATCGGCGACTCCGAAGAGCACTGTAGCGCGGATGGGGCAGCTGGGGGAATCGGGACCGCAGCGATGGCAGAAAAGGTCGCCGCAGCGGTTGGGAGGGCGGAAGGTGTTGCGCAGAGTTCAGGGAGTAAGGAGGCTGATGGGGGCGCGGGGAGCGCAGATGCGGGGGACGCGGTGAGCGGAATGACAGACGCAAGCGGGCGGGAAAGCGAGGCGCGATCCGCGGACCGAGTGAGCAGCGCAAGCGGAACCGCACCACGGGATGCGCTTGAGCTAGTAGAATCCGACGCCGTCGCCTCTGATGCGGCCGCTGCCGCTGCTGCGGCTGCGATCGCCGCGTCGCTCGCAGCAGCAGCACCCGCCACAACAACCAACGACGCCGCACCTGCCGCGGCAGTCCCCGTCATTTCCGCCGATAGTAACGCAACCTCGTCCGACGGCAAACCTCCCACCGCTGGCGGCTCCTCCGCTTCCGCCGCCTCCGCTTCACCCGCGTCGAGCAGTTCCCGCGCGGCAGGCTCCTCGCGGAGCTCGTCGCGGCCTGGCTCGCGACCCGGCTCGCGACCGTCGTCGCATCCGTCGTCGCGGTCGTCGTCGCCCGCTCCCGACGAGCCCGTGGTGTGTCGCGTGGCGTGCATGTCGTCGGCGGGGCAGCAGGACGGGTTTCATAAGACGAACCAGGACGCGTACTGTTTCATGCGCACGAAAGACAAAAAGTGAGTGTACTCGCGTTTTGCTTACTGCGAACTAAACAAGAATGTATATATCAACAACCAGAAATCCACTAGTAAAGAAACAGAAACAACCAAATAACATCCACTTCCCCACTGCACCTCTCATGTGAATACATTGGGTTGTACAGATCGCTCATCTTTGGCGTGTTTGATGGCCATGGGCCGCAAGGACATGACGTTTCCAAGTTTATCAAGGTAAATCTCCCCATTCACCCTCCTTTTTCATGAGCTACTCCCGCTTAGCCTCAATTCAGTCCCCCTCGACATGCTCACCGCCGATATGTAAACTTCTGCAAATGAAAAAAGCGGAAGTAAATCATTCGTTACGTAATACCTACTTGATCGTTTGACCTCTCGATCCTTGAGAACCTTCAATCCCTTGCCATTACCCCATGCCTTGCCATGCCTATACCCAGTATCCCATACAAAACATCCCTTTCAATCGGAAATACCCAGTCTCTCTTTCCGTCTTACTTAGACCTGTCTGCTACCACATCCCTCTGACACCAGGATCGGCTCCCTGAGATATTAATGGACGGCTCAGATCTTCTCGTGGACCCCGAGAAAGCCTTAACGGATGGCTTTTTGGTGGTTCACGATGCAGCACTTGAGGAGAGTGAGTGGGGGACAAGTGGGAGGGTGTGGGAAGAGGAGCGAGTGGGGGTGGGATGTGGGAGAGAAGAGTGGAGGAGAGGATAGTGAGTGAGGTGGGGTGTGGGAAGTGTTGTTGAGAGCATGGTTGAGAGCTGAGAGTGGTGCGGGATGCAGCTCTGCAGGCCTGAAGGGAAGTGTGTGGGAGTGTGAATCCAGCTTAGGTCCAGATTCCAGTGCATTCTAGTAGTAACACGCGTTGCAGGAGCGCTAAGTGTGTGGGTGAGGCGAAGAAGTGAACGGTCACAGGGAGTGAGGGGAAGAGGTGAAGGAGCTACTACAGAAAGAGGGGGGAAAATGAACGGATCACAGAAAGTGGGTGAAAAGGGAAATTCGCTGCGGCATCGCAGCAGTGGTAGCCATCTCCACGAATAAGGTTTCTATTATTCCGCTGGCTCGTACCCCTTATAGCCTCGCTTAACTGCAGCATAAGCGGCACCACTGTAGTTGTACAGTTTTTTCTGCTTACATGCCTCTCTATTTATTTATATCCCTTACAGCCTCATTTGGTTGCAACAAAATTGGCACCACATCAGTGGTAACTCACCTCTACCAGCTGTTACTCTTACATGCCTCCCTCCACTTCATACCCCTTACAGCCTCATTCAATTGCAACATAAGTGGCACGACAGCGGTGGTGGCTCACCTGTACAAGCAGCGGCTGGCTGTGGCGTGGGTGGGGGACTCGAGAGCTGTGCTGGCACGGAGAAGAGAGGGCGGAGGTGAGAAAAGAAAGTGTGAGAAACGGAGAGCATGGGTGAAAAGAAGGAAATGGGAGATTATGAGGGGCGCTTGAGAAGCGGCTGGTTGGCTGTGGCGTGGGATTGGGACTCACGGGCTGCTGTGCCGGGATGGAGAAGAGAGGGCGGAGGTGAGAAAATAAAGTGTGAGAAACGGAGAGCATGGGTGAAAAGAAGGAAATGGGAGATTATGAGGGGCGCTTGAGAAGCGGCTGGTTGGCTGTGGCGTGGGATTGGGACTCACGGGCTGCTGTGCCGGGATGGAGATGAGAGGGCGGAGGTGAGAAAAGAAAGTGTGAGAAACGGAGAGCATGGGTGAAAAGAAGGAAATGGGAGATTATGAGGGGCGCTTGAGAAGCGGCTGGTTGGCTGTGGCGTGGGATTGGGACTCACGGGCTGCTGTGCCGGGATGGAGAAGAGAGGGCGGAGGTGAGAAAATAAAGTGTGAGAAACGGAGAGCATGGGTGAAAAGAAGGAAATGGGAGATTATGAGGGGCGCTTGAGAAGCGGCTGGTTGGCTGTGGCGTGGGATTGGGACTCACGGGCTGCTGTGCCGGGATGGAGATGAGAGGGCGGAGGTGAACAGAGGAAAGATTTCGAGAGATTGAATGTGGGAGACGGAGAGAGATGGCTGAAGGGGAGGGGAACGAGAATAGGAGGATGGGTGGCTCACCTG